GCCGCGTGCCAAATGTTGCCGACCCCTGCTCTAGTCTGTGTACAAAGAAAGAAACAGAAGTTCTAAGACACAGTAAGGACTAAAGCCCATATCTTCTGCAAATTTATATATTTTTGGTGTACTAAAGATCAAACTTCCATATTGTATGCATTTTCTCAGCTATTGTAATGGCATCTGTTTGAAAATTGATCATCAGAATTAATCTGAGGATCACAAAAGGAATGCCATATTGCACACATTCTGAATGCATTTCTTTCTGGGAGAGCAGGACTTTGTCTGCACCCACGTCTGAAAGAAAAAGCTTACCTGAGGCTCTTGATGAAACTTACCACTTTTTTCTGTATCTGGTAAAGCTATGTTTCTAATTTACTGATAATCTGTTGCAGTGATTATTTCCATACTGTTTGCTAATTTGTATGAGCTGAAATATGTACAGTGATTGTAAGATAATTGAAAATTAGTACTTGAGCCTCAGCTACACTGAAAGACTTTGAACAAATGTTACTTTATGGAAAAAACAAGCAGTATTAAACCAGATACGTGTGATTATACACTAAATGTGACACAAAAAGTGACTTTAATCAGAATCTGCATTTACTTTTTAACCTAGTTTTTGAACATGAAATTGAACCTGTTTCATTTTAAAAAATAACCATACCATATTTCACATTAAGTAAAGGAGTAGTGATATTTGACACGGGAAAGGGCAAAGTGTCTGAACTTTTGAATTTAAGTGCTTATGGATTTGTCCCCCCCATATGTTATTAATTTGATCCTTTTTATACTTATGTACATTTCTGCAATATGCAAGGAAGTAACCCCTTCATTTTATTTACATATAAAAATGTGCATAGATTGTTCACTTATTAGGTACAACAACCATCCACGTAAAAAAGTGTGTGTGTAGATAGAGACACACGCACAGTATTTACCAACTACCTTATTTTGTTCTATTTTTAGTGGTTAAAATGGTGGTTATAAGATGCCAATATTCATAAAAGCACCAGGAATTCATCAACTGCCATTTTACATAGATGTTAAATCACTGACCATCTTTTCAATGACTCCCACTATCTCTAATGCATAAATAAAAATTGGGAAGAGGTCATTATATAAGCCTATTGTTAAGGTGAAATGTGTATATTATGTTATTTCACTTTTGAGGAGAGCCTGTTTATATGCAACTTCCAGGATTATTAAGACATTAACCACAGTTGAGTACATTAACTACAAAGTGCATTTAAACTGTGTGGGGATGCTCTTATTCACAGCAAAGTGGCCTTAGTTTGCTTTAGCTAAATCACCTTTGCAGATCTATCTACACAGAGAAGATTATGGTAGGAACCATTTTGCTTTTAATGGTGTTATGGTCTTCACCCATACTCTGAATGGAACCAACATCCATGCAGCACCTCTGTGTTGTGGAGTGTTCAACAGGCCATAGCTCTAGCATCAACTTCTCAGTCTGGTACATCTCTCCTAATTCAACCTTCCTGAAGGCCTGACATCAATTTCCTCCCAGCTAGAATGTTTAGCAGCACTTATGTCCACAGTCAGGTTCTTTTAAACACAGGTTTGAGAGAGCTAAAGAAAGAGCAAAAATTTTACTGGCATACCTAGCCAATCTGGATGTTTTATACACATGAACAAAAACAGGATTAAAAGTCTTAGAGCCTGATCCTGCAACTAGTTGCATGCTAGCAGACTATACACCTGCCCTGAGCCCCTCTGGCGTCTGTCCCAGGATTTAGGCTCAGGTTTCTTTCATAATCTTCATTTCATGGCTGCTCAGGTAGTATTGTAGCACAGCAAGACACTTGCTAGATCTTTCTGTTAGCAACCATGGCTTATCCTTCAGCACCCGTGTAATCTCTCAGGTGCTAAAATCTGCCTGCAGCTCCTCGGCTGGCACAACAACATCTGAGCAGTATGTCAGATAAGGGAGTAGTTCTAGGTACTTCATTGCCAGACTGTGGGAGCTCCAGGAAGATCAGGATAGCGACTGGACTGGCATCTCCTTGGGACCCACTACCCAGTCCAGGGGAAGTGGGGGAGGAGAAGCTGAGAACAAGCTACCCGTTAGTGCTCCCTGATTCTCTGCCATAGCCCAGGTTATAGCAGCCCAAGGGCTACTCTAATTTGCACCACTCCCTTTGTACCATATAATAGAATTTGCCCCCAAAATATTGATTGCAGCCTCACATCATTATACATCTCCAGCCTGGTGTAAATCATATATTACAGTTAATGGTAAACTGATCTCTAATACACACAGAAGAGTCTTTAATGGAAAAATCAGTATGCTACAGGATGTAGCTTGCTTAATTCTGTAGGTGACCCTTTCCCCTCTGCATTGCTATGGAAAAAGTTCCCAGGAGTGGTATTAGACTTCATCATTGACTTACATGAGACTTAGCAGATCCTTAGTATTGCTGGATCAGGGAAAGTGTGTTCAGGTCCTTGCACACTTGAAGGTCCTAGGCTGTTGTGCAGTGTTACTGTGCGCTGTTAAAGAGCAGCTGAGAACCACCCCAGAGGCGCTTTGTTATGAAAGATACTCTATTAGTTTTAGATATTAGTATAATAGTGATAGGTAAATAAATTAACTTTATACATAAGGATACAACCTTTCTGTAGTGTTGGTTTCTGCTACTATGTCAGCCCTACATTGTGAAATAGTCTCTACATCAGAATTGCATTTACATTCAAAGATAGGCACAATTAGTGCCTCAAGAACCAAGTTATCTCCCCGTGGCTGTACATGCATCCCCATTATTACTGGAGATAGGAGCAACACTAAAAATGTGGTCGCAGGTAGTCTTATGTTTTACAGAACAGCCTCACTGATATTTATATACAAATAGTTCAAATAGTAACATGGAGACTGATGTCCTTCAGGACGATGGAATTAAATAAATCACTAGCACTTCTAATTTAGGTCTCAGTTGTGTCAAGGATAGGTGCCTTAAACTCCTAAGTTATTACAAATCAAACATTTAAATTCAACCTTCATGATGAGGGTAGCCCAAAGCCAGTATATTTTGAAAGCCCAAAACAGGAGACAGAGAAATCTTGATCTCAGTCTTCTGCTATAACTTGATGAAGTCAAAAAAGTCTGTATTTGAAGAGAAAGCAAATGAACAAGCATACAGTCTATATAATTGCTTAGTGCACAGTTTTGCAATTCTCATCACTGTCAGTATGTAGGTAGCATTAGCACAGTCTTGGGGAGATGGGGTACCCTTTTGAACAGGCAGAGCATTGGAATGACCCGTCCCCCTCACTTCTTTGTACGATGGGGAGCACCTTGTGCGAAAGCAACATCACTACTACCCTCTACTCCAAAATCCCCCTATGAGAAGATGGGGAAGAAAAAATGCTTCCAATAAAAAGGGATCCCTTTTTCTCCCACCCTTCAGATGTGAAGGAATTCTAGGGCCAAGTAGTATGATATGTAAGGTGCTCTCTGGCTTTACACAACTGCTTTGCAGTTTACACTCCCCCTTTTCTTGAAGAGAAGCCTGGCAACTTTATTCCTGAAAGTACAATTTTTAGGACAGCTTCAAAGCTAAAAGTCCTTCTACAGCTGTGGTTGGGGAATTCACATCAAAGAGGATACGCGCATGTTGTTCCAATGTCAGCGCTGACGCTTGGTGGAAATCTCTGTGGATTTACTACAGTCCCCAGAACAGAGATTAAATTATGCATTGAAGCTGCCTCTATAAACTGTAGGAGACAAAGAGAATAAGTGGCAGTGCACTTTCTCATAATCAAAGCCTGGCATCGTTATTTGCATCAGTTTCCTGTGAGGGGAAAGTGAAAGGGACATGGTGTCAAGGGACAGAACAGAGTGCTATCTGGGTTTTAAAAGTGACACCAACTACATTTTTTTTCCTGAATCTTTGAGAAATATCACCCAAAGAGTGTGTTCCTCTGGAGCACTATTCCTGATGCTTCTATTCCCAGGGGAAAGTTAAAAGTACAATATGAGACTATGTTAAAGGCCAGCAGTTCCTGCTATATAATCCATCCAACTCTGAAGATGGCATTTAAGGTGTCTCCACGCTCAGTGGGACATAGTTGGAAAAGGAGAGAAAAGAATGAGAGGTGGTGG